ACAGCGAGTGTAGGACGCGTGTAGGACGCCAAAAACGTTACGGGAAGTCATCCAGTGTTCAATATCAATGTGGACCAGCCTAGTCATCGGCCCGAGCTTCGAATGTACGTGGGAACGATCCCGGCCGATGATGGCGGCCCCTTCGTACGCCGTGAGCGCCGTCTTGTTCTTCGCCGTCATCATGAACCGGCGCGCACGGCCAACAAAATCAGTGCTGCGCGTCCTTGCAATGCTAGCTGTCTGCTCCACTCGCATGGCTAATGCCAACTCGCCAGAACAAGATCGACTTATCACCTGGATGGGATGCGTGGAAGCGCCGCGCTGAGCCAGTCCCCGAGCGGCGCGCAAGGCGCCCCTACCGTGCTGGATCCACGCAAGAATGCAAGCACAACCATTGTATCAGCTATTGAGGACGACTGGTGCTCAAGGTCACGCACTGTTGTCCACTATTGTACATCTCAGTCGCGCCGCGGAAGATGATCTGTCACTGCCTGACACCGGGGCATGAAGTGGCGATTCAATACGTTGCCGGATTTCGCCATAATAAGTAACGCTCCTACCATCTCAAGCGAACATTGCACACACGCTTCCGCAGATCTTTTGTCGTCTGTTGATGTACTTTTGCTGTCAACTGACCATCACGTATCCATGTACGCTCCCTTGAGAAATGGGCATGGCCAATACGGACGATTGCATCACGCTAAGTGGGGAAGCTACTTACGCCCTGTCATCCTGCAGTAGCCTGAGCGCCTTTCTTTGATGCGATTGCCCCGGAAACATATGATCCCTACCCGTGCTGGGATCCTCAAGAACGGGCGCCGTTTGTTTCTTCGACATCCCTTCCCTTGAACGTCAGCTGGCTCGTTCAAAGACCCCCTCTTCAGAGATTCAGGATGCGCTCCGGCCACAGTAGCAGCGGTGCCATGGCATTGTGTCTATTGCTCAGTGCGAGCGTAGCGGTCGCTCAAAATCTCACGATACCCACGGAAATCTGGCTGGTGCGCTATACAATCTGACGCAGACAACTCATCTGACCATGAACTTATAGAACTCCACGTCGGGTCTCGGTCGCGACACACGCGCAGATCTTGCATCGAGTGCCGCCAAGCCATTCGCTACTCTGAGTATAGCCGTGGGGCAACCCGGTGCGTACATACCTTCCCAGCCGTGAACATATTACTCAGTGCTATGTAGGCATGCCGTTTCTCCCGGAAGTCACCAGCGTCTTCGCGGCTCTGGCCTTGCAAGACTACTATCTCGGAACTAATACTTGGCAATCTATGGGGACGTCGACCTTGCTAAATACTATCAGGGAACGGAATGGTTTTTGGAGCGACGGAAAGATGGAGTCAAGCGATCCTGCTTATTGGGGGCTCGCATCCTTCTACTCGTATCGAACTTACAATGCGACGGATCTTCTTGACAATGCCAAGACCGCCTGGGACATAGTTTACAATGCCTTCATTACCCCGAGTGCTGCAGCCAGCGGAAGTGGCGCCGGGCGCAATGTATCGTTCTCACCTCCTACCAATTGCACAGCTGGTGAGACGATTTTCGTTCCGCACTGTTGAGTCTCTCATCAGAACGTACAGAAACATTCGCCGGTGGTGTATTCTTAGCGAGTTCTTCCTTCCCTGTGTGACCGGTGCGCACACTGACAGGTTCCTTCTCACAGAGACAGGACGTCATGAACAATACCGAAGTGAACATGCTGTCTGTTGGGCCCTTTATGGCGTACGTGCGATGTCCCGTTTTGAGATTGAGGTAACTGATCAGCTCATTAGCTTATCGGCATACTTGTACGAGGCCACACAGAACAGCACGTATCACGACTCTGCTCAGCTATCGCTTGATTTTATCATCCACCATCTATGGAATGGGAGCTTTGTCTCCGACAGCATTGATTTGAGCTCCTGTCAAATTACACCCAAGCCATGGACTCTGAATCAAGCGTGGTTCATAGAAGGTTGTATCCAACTCTATCGAGTCAAGCATGTTACTCAGCCAGCATAGGTCTATCCGTGTGGGCGAACGTAACTCATAATGATACGTTGACAACACTGTGCGCAGCCTGCCCTTCTATATCGACTTTCCCCAATGCTCACAACTGAGTAGTCTCGAGAATGCGGTACCCAGCATTGCAACATACCCATCATGGACGTCACATGATGGAACCACCGATGGTGCGTGCAAACCGCGATGTTGTCGCTTGCCTACCTCACGAAGATGATACAGACTTCAATCCTGATATCACGAGTGCTACTCCGAATTCGATCCTCAAGGGTATCTACATCCGCAGCTTCACAGAAGCTCGCATGCGCAATCCCGGTACACAGCTCGCGCAGTACATCGAGGCGTACATTACCGTGCAGGTGTGTCTTCGTTTACCTGCATCATCGGCCTCGACACTCAACTTTGCCCTTTACAACCAGTTCAACTCCATCTTGGAGCATGCTCAAGCGGCACCTCCGAACAATAGCTACTATTCCAGAGAATGGACTGGCCCTCCCGCAACGTGAGTGCTTGAACGGGCCTGCCTGCCAGGCACTGACTTGGTGGCACCGCAGGTTCTTCGAAGCCGGTGGCAACATCGCGGCTTTAGACGTTCTAAATGGCGCGGTCAGCCTTGTGGAGTTAGTCACCTTATCACCTTCCCTATGTACCTAATTGAGTGTACTGACTCGCCATCCAGCGCGTCTTCCAGCAATACATCGACAACAACACCCGGTCCGAACTCGACCGGAACACCTCGGACCACTTCGAAGAAGTCTGCAAGTGCAGGTCCCATCGCCGGCGGAGTAGTGGGCGGCGTCGTAGCTATAGCCGTCGCCGTCGCCGCTATATTTCTGTGCCGTCGTCGGCAGCGAAAAGTGGCGCCCAACACGCTCAAAGGGGACTTTGACGCGTCAGACATCAACCTCGTCGACCCGTTCGTCTCTCGGCCAGCACATAACCCGATTCCTCCAACCAAATTTCAACGAATGAACGGGGCGTATCGAGGCGATGGTCCTTCGGCTGCCCCAACTCAGCCTATATCGGTGACAGTGGACTCAACACGCGACTCAGACTCGCCTCGCAATACGACACATGAGAATGCCATCGCTGAGCTCCCGGGCTTGGTTGACCGTTTGCAGAATTTACTGCAAGGTCGCCAGCCAGGAGAGCTTCCCCCGCAGTATGGCGATTGACGTATGATTACAGGTCGGATTTATCCAGCGTGATTTTTACATAGGATAAGGTTATGAGCTAGACTCCTTGAACCATAGATAGAACGGAGTCAATCCTCTCATGTGGAATTTGCCGTCGCTGGATTCATAAGTTAACCTCAACCCTAAACACGATCACCGCTTCCAAGTTAGATTCCGAGGCTTCCGGGCCGGCGCGTGATTTGCCTCCCGCGTTCATGTTCTCACTGCCGCCTGACGAAATACGACGACTGGGTCAATTGATCGACACAGAGTATTCACATGCTGCTTGCGGACGTATCTCTCTCTTCCTTTGCCTAGCACCGTACCACACGAACCAAGAATCGGGCAATTGCCGCTCCACGAGGTCAGCCTGAGGGCGCAAAGCGCTACGTACACACCCGCTCAATGGGTTCGCCATTGGGCAATAGCATCGGGAGAATTTGTCACTACATGACACCGGCACGTAAGATGCGGACGCATTATTCACCAAACTTCATCACATACAGTAGGACTATGACCCATCTTGAGGGAACCTCATATGCTGCGGATCTTTCGTCGCGGTTTCGTCGCCCGCTGATGGTGTTCGTTGCCATCTTCCATCAAGTCTCCCGGATACGTCTGCACTCGCAGTCTCTTGGGGCTGTGTCCTACACCATCAATCTACTCACCCATTCCGAAAAGGCACTTCATACTCTCTTTCATGCTGTTCGAGACAACCCGCCTCGCGACGCGATGTTGCTTCCGCTGGGGATCTCATCATCATCAGAACAGTCTCTAGTCCTTAAATACGTATGAATGGTTCAAATGTCCCTCCCTTATCTCCCTTATCCTGGGCATCCGCTCCTTACATGCTCCTCACTCTGCTCGGGACCTCGTTACTCGCTGTTCATGTCTGGATCGGCACAAAGACAGTATCAGCTCAGAATCTGACGATACCCGGAAACTGGCGGGTACGCCGTTAGGGCTCGGCCCGAAAGATATAAATGAGTAGCGACGATGACCATGCAGAAACCCTCGTCTAATCTCAGCCGCGAGGACCGCGAAAGCTTGGCTCACGATGCGGCATATCCTCTCTCGAAGATCCAGATATCTATTGGGACACCAGGTATGCGCGACTCAATGCAACGTGCCGACGCCGCACTTACTGAATGCTCTACAGGTTTGCCACACCTACAAGAGATCACAAGTCTCTACGCAGTCCTCGCCCTGCAAGATTTCTACAGTGGCAATGGAACGTGGCACGATTTGGGAGCTGTGAACTTGCCCACCGAGATTCTGGGGTCGCACGGATTCTTCAGCGGCAAGGCCAAGCTTCACAGCGACGTGATCTATTGGGGTCTCACTTACTTCTACGCACATCGAACATACAATGAGGACATTCTCCTCCAAAACGCAGTCGAAGCTTGGAACATCGTCTACAGTGGTGGGTTCATCGACCCCACTGCCGCCGCTACTAGTAGCGGGGCTGGGCGTAACGTGTCATTTCCTCCATCTAGTAATTGCACGGGTGGTTAGTCATCAATACTGCATTGATTCTGGGCCAAGACACTGATCGATCAAACAGGGACTTTTGCCGGAGGGGTATTCTATGTGAGAGCAGGTCTTGTCAGCTGCGATGTTCAACTACTGATTGTGATCCGAATTACTACGTAGAGAGCCGATATTCTGAGTGATACCTCTGTGAATATGGAGACGGTTGGGACATTTATGACGTATGTGCTTTGTCAACTCGTTCTTCGGTGCCCGGGACTGACGATCGGACGACTAGGCTGTCGGCGTACCTATTTGAGAAGACTCAGAATGTGACCTATCACGATTCGGCGCAGCTCTCGTTGGAATTCATCCTCAATTATCTATGGAATGGAGTGTTCGTCTATGATACCAGGTATCTGGATTCCTGTGGCGTACAAGTGAAGCCCTTCACAATGAATCAAGGCTGGTTCGTGGAAGGTACGAACACACCAATTCAAATCTCGACATTGCCAATGACTCTGAATCTGGTATAGGCCTATCCGTGTGGGCAAATGTGACCAAGAATGGTACTCTCACAACGCTGTATGTACCTTTCATAGCATCTCACATACAAACGGTACCCATACTCTTGCGCATGTAGTCTCGAGACGGTGGTGACCAACGTCACGACATACCCTTCTTGGACATTGCAAGACGGTGTCGTGGATGGTACGTAGAGGCGCTTGTGAGGATCGATGAAATACGCGGGTCTGATGCAGAATCGATAGATACCGATCCGTCAGTCACATTGGATTCGGCGAATGCGGTCCTCAAGGGCATCTACATTCGCGGTCTTGCCGAGGCACACAGACGAAATCCTGGCACGGCTCTAGCCAGCTATATTGAAGCGTACATCTACGTGCAGGTCAGTTGCCACGTTTCACTTCGTAGCTTTCGCTGATGTTGATCGCGACTTCTAGTTGAATTCTATGTTAGATAATGCTCGCGCGCCGCCACCTAACAATAGCGCCTATTCAAGGTCATGGGACGGCCCTCCGGCGACGTACATGCCCCTCTTTGCTCGCATACGTGTGCAGGACCTCACTCGGCTCTTTTCAGGTCTTTCGTTGAAGCTGGTGGAAATATAGCCGCATTGGATGTATTGAATGCTGCTTTCAGCTTCGTCGAGCCATCGGCGTCAGTAGGCATATCATCGAATTCTCATAGTACATTATACTTACCCGGTAATAATGCAGGCCGTCAGCCAGCAGCTCGTCCATGGTCGGTCAAACTCCCACAGAGGCGCCCCTGAAGCCCGTTTCTACTAAGTCTCGTAGTACTACTGGTGCCATCGCGGGGGCTGTGGTGGGCGGCGTAGTAGCTGCCGCCGCCGTCATTGCGATCTTTGTCTTGTGGCGCCGTAGGAGGACAGCAGAAGCGCGAAACAGGTCTGAAGGTGAACTTGATTCAGACGGGATCAAACTGGTGGAACCATTCTTCTCACCCATAGCGCAAAATCCGCCTCCTTCGGACAAGCAACAGCGTATGAATGAGCTATATCTGGTCAACTCCTCGCCACCACTTTCTCAGCCAGCCTCCGAGGAAGTTTCTTCTACCCCCGAGCCGGACTCACCTCGCGATAACAATCGTGAGAGCGCCATCGCAGAGCTTCCAGGGCTAGTCGACCGCTTGTATACTTTGATGCACGGTCGTGGGCGAGGCGAACTTCCCCCGCGGTATGGCGATTGATACAAGCCTACACGCCAGTCTCTATTTATATCAGTGAACTTTGGATGTGGATCAAGGGGATGCGAACTACGCTCGTATGTTCGATCTGCTCGTAGTCTTACTTATACCCTCTTATTATGCCTTATAAGCCCGTCCTATAGCTATACGAGTCTCAGCTCTGCATCTAAGCTGGCTCTTTTGACCTATGAACTTTGTGCAGTATGAGTACTGTACATGACGTGCTCGGGAGATACAATACCCTATGCAAGCTCGCTTGCGAATGCGCAACGCCGGTGCGCGCGAGTCGCGACCTAACCCTAACCCTGATCGCTGCCGTCGGGTCCAGGCGAACCCCTGCGAACCCGCGTCCGGCGTCCGGCGTCCAGGACTTGTCCACGTCCATGTTCTTCACTGCCGCTCTACGAGACGTTACGAATGGCTCATCAAAACAATGGAAAGTTGTAGCATGGCATAAGCGTGTCCCGACTGCTGTCTTCCGTCTTCTTTCGTTCCAGTACGGCAGTCGATTGGCCGCTGGAGACCCCGTTCCTCCCAGAGCCTACTTCGTGCGCACCCGCCAGCAAGCGTTGCGAAATGTGACTACTCATAAGGATGCGAGGGGTACCAAGTGGCAGGTGCGGTGAATCCGTGTGAGATCGAGTATTGTGGTTAACCCGGTGTCAAACCATGCAGATAGATACGACGCCTATTGGCACCTGCGTGTTGCCTCCTTTACCAGGCGAGGAGAGCGACGGTATGCCAGGCTTTCAGATGCATGACGCGACTGAGGTCCCTCGGGATCGTCAATTACTTCAAAATATGAAGGATGGCGAGCAGCCCATACGACTCGTGCGCGCAGGTGCGTTCCGATACACACGCTGCAGGGTTTCTGCTGATAGCCCACCATAGGTGTTCCACTGCCTATCGGCTACGTGCTTGTAGAGCAGACATATGAGGGGAGATGGAGAAGCGACTACCACTTCCGACCTACAGTACCCGTGACAATTGAAAGTGAGCGTTGGATACCGCAAAGCTGTCTTTGCCCTCGCTGCTGATAGAGATACAGGGTACAATAGTGCGCTTAGGAGCTGGATGTACAACTATTCGGAAGACATCTCTTACGACCAGCTCCGACAAGAATTCCGGTCGCCGAAGCGATGACCGACAGTACTGCGCTGCCATACTACGCACTATCTCGAGCCGGAGATTATACTGGACGCAAGTCATTCGATAGCCATGGATGCGAGCACCGCCCTCGTCACGTCGTCATCAATGACCTCGAGATTGGCACACACTTCAATACTCTGCTGCCCACTTTGTGCAACTTTACCTTACCGAAATCTGAGACCTAACGTCGTGACACTACTGTCCCGCCCGTAGCCCGAACCACCCGGTACGATAGAGCTCTACGTTCCTCCGGAGCTCACCTGGTACACGTACCTTGGATCGTCTAATACTACTCTAGCACTACAGTAGTCTTTTCAATTGCTATGCTATGGTACTTAGACCGAGCCCAGCGAATGCTGTCAGCCCTGAACGTTTGAACGCTTCGGCACCGCACGCGCGTCCACGCCTGCTCTGATCCGCCCCCGACGCCGATCAATCACTGAAGTCGTGTGTTGAACTTCACCTCCATCTGCTGCGAGTGAAAGCGCCACAGCATCGCAAAGCGACTGTACCGACACTATGGTCCGACCCCGTGTATTCATGGACTACTCGTCCGGTGGCGAGTCTCTTGGTCGGTATGCAGCTCCCGGTCTTACGTGCACGTTACTCGACACTGACCATGCGACATTCCTAGCGTGATATTCGAGCTGTACAATGACACTGCGCCCAAAACGGTTGAAAAGTGTGTATGTGGTACATACTGGGGTGTCATATTCGCTATTGACCACCACCCTTTGTAGTTTCCGTGCTTTATGTACGGGTGAGAAGGGCGCGAGCCCAACTTCTGGCGCACCACTCTACTACAAGGGCTCGCCGATACACCGCATCATCCCGGACTTCATGGTACAGGGTGGAGGTGCGTACGCGAAATGGAACCATATTGAATTGCGCTCTAACCACTCGCAGATTTCACCAAGCAGAATGGGACAGGCGGTGAAAGCATCTACGGTGCTCCATTCCCCGACGAGAACCTTACGATACCACTAGACGCCGAAGGGTTCGTCTCTGACGCTATCTTTACGCTTTTGAACCACAAGCTAACAACTATATGTGCAGCTTGCTCTGTATGGCGAATAAGGGTCCCGACACGAACGGCTCGCAGTTCTTCATCACGCTTCGACCGGCGCCTCATCTTGACGGCAAGCATGTTGTCTTCGGCCGCGTCATCCGCGGCATGGAAATTGTGCGCAAGATAGAGGCCGTCCCCACCGGCGCTAAAGACCGTCCTGTGACACCTGTGCTCGTATCCTCATGTGGAGAGCTCGAGCTGAAACGGCCGCCGCCGAAGCAAGGTGCGCAGTTTATAGTATGCCTGTACGGATTTATACTGAGTCTTTCTACGTGTAGAAACGCGCGCAAGATCCCGCTCGGTATCAGGGTCCGACTCCGGCGAATCTGATGATGAGCGCTTGCGCAAACGGCGTAAACATAAGCGCTCGCATTCTTCTTCGCGATCTCGGTCGCCGGGCGCGTCTGATGAAGAGCCGCGCAAGAAGAAGAAGCATAGGAGCAAAGAAGAGAAGCGCGCGCGTAAGGAGAAGAAGGAAAAGAAGCGCAAGCTCCGGGAGGAGGAAGCCTCTGCTGCTGCTTTGGCTTCCGGAGAGAGGAAGGAGACGGAGGAAGAGTACGATGCGCGGCTTGAGCGTGAGGAGAACGAGAGGCGTGAGGAGGCGAGGAGACGTGAGCTCGAACGTCTGGCACGTCATGCGCGGGCTGAGGAGCAGGCTGTGACTGTGGGCGGCGTGAAGTTCAAAGGGCGAGGAAGGATGAAGTATGTCGATCCGGAATACTCGACACACCGGCATTGAGTATTGAGCTATGTCGAGCGGGATCTGGTTGCTGTGCCGGGTACATCCGTTCCTGAACTTGTTAGTATTGTAGTCTCGTATCGCGATGCTCGAGTTACGCTACTTACCCACGTAACGGCTCAATCCACGTAGCGATCATAGTCTGTGTGTCTGACTCGCGTGTACCCAACATGATGCAGCGTGAGAGAACGGAATGGCTGAAACCGAAACGGCGATCCCGTTATTAGTTACTTCCTGCAGCGATGTCGATGCTACAGCTCACTCTTACCTCCTGCGCTCATGTCCTCAGGGGAAGAAGGCCCGTACGAGTCTGAACAGGCATCAGGGCCAACAAGGAAACGGACTCGCCGACGCATTCAGCGAAGCTGCGATGTCTGTAGGTCGGTACTTGCGCTTTGGTGATCCTGTCCGTCGAGCCAATCTGTGTTCCGTACAGGCGCAAGAAGATCAAGTGTGAGGGACTGCTCTATCTGCTTGAGGCGCATGTGAAGCGAACTGTGGTCTCTATGCAGGCGACTGGGCCCTCTCGCGAGACAACAAGTGCACGTTCTGCAAGACCCATAACTTCGAGTGTCAACATACTCACGGCGTCAGGGAGGAGAAGCTGGATCCAGCGACAGAGTCAGTCGTACCTTCATACGTGTCTCTAACCCTTGGTATTCATCGCTTGCTTCAGGGAAGTCGAGTCTCTGGAGAGCCTGGTCAAGAGCATGGCGCTCTGGATATCAGAGGTAGGCGAAGACATAGGACTACACTCTGCTCGACCGTGAGCTCGAGACTCACAATTCCGCAGCGTCACCCAGATGTCAACCCTACGAAGGAGTTCAGCATGCCTTCAAGCCTCGCACAATGGTTCAACGAACGACATGATCGTCCTTTGGGTACAACGCTCAAAAGACTATCTGGTGATCTCGCCCGCATCAACCTCATGGCGGACGACCAGCAAAAGGACGAGGATGACTTGAACGAGGAAGGTGATGGCGGGGACTACAAGCTCTCCGAGTTACAGACACGCTTTCAGAGCATGAGCATGATCGAACACTTCCTAGGCAAAGGGAGTGTACTGGGGAGATCGAGCGGCCTCGCGTTGATACAGCACGCGCTGGAGCTGAAACAGAACCCGAACGCGCAGAAGATTGGGCATAATCGATCTATACCCTCCAGGCGCAAAGACCTTTGGGACTCCAACCAGGTTTGTCCGGATGGGTAGCACAGCCGCTTGTTCAATCGCTGATACAGCTAACGTCCAGTTCCTTTGGCTGAAGTCAAGCTATGACGCACGCATCTTCAACCTGCCGCCCGGTGATTTGAGTGAGTGCACGTATCTGCGCCTTCTTACCGTTTGATTTTTCACACACGGCACCCATAGTGCAGACTCTAGTAAACGGGTACTTCACCAGCCACGAACCCAGCATACTGCTATTCCACGAACCGACCTTTAGGCACAACATGAACATGGGTCTTCACTTCCGCGACCCGGCATGCGCCGCCATCATACTTCTCATCTGCGCCCTCATGTCCCGATACAGCGACGATCCCAGAGTCCTCTCCAGCGGCTCGGGCTCTTGGTACTCTGTGGGCTATACGTGGTATCTTCAAGCGAAGGACTATTATACGCCATCGAAGTCCGCTCCGTCATTGCATGATGTCCAGCTTTATACGCTCATGACTGTATACCTCGACGGATCATCTTCTCCTCAAACTGCTTGGACTGCGTACGTTCCATTTACGTCATTCGCATACTGCGACGCAATCTAACTTGGCAACTTCCAGATGTGGAACGGCCCTTAGACTGGCTATGGACGTTGGCGCGCATCGGAAGAAAGCCTACCAAAAGGTGCCCACAGTCGAAGATGAGCTTTGGAAGAGAGCCTTCTGGTACGCGCGAGATCTACCCGTCGTTGTTTACGTTCCTGATCGAGCCCTGTTACTTAGGATCCTGGTGATCCTGGATCGTCAAGTGAGCGCCCATCTGGGCCGTTCCTGTTGCGTTCAAGACGAAGAGTCAGTATGCAATTCGGTATCATTTGATGCTATAAGACTGACTACGCATCATAGCATAGACCTCGAGCTGCCTCTCGAAGTTGACGACGAGTACTGGGAGCATGCCGATGCGACACAAGCATTCAAGCAGCCGCACGGGAGGCCCTCCAGAGTCAGTTTCCTGGTCGCTTTGGTCAAACTCATGAAGATATCCGGCGTTGCGACACGGACCATCGTACGTACTGAATAGCTTACTTTCATGGGCTCTTTACTGAGCGAGGGACAGTTCTCGGCGAATCCTCGGGCCAACATACTGCTGGAGGCGCTGGGGAAGGGCTGGGAGCAGGTTTGTCACTTCCATCCGTGGATACAACCTCGCTGACCTGTCCTCTACAGAAAATAGTTACCGCGCTTGACTCAGCACTGAATGAATGGGTATCGCATGTGCCAGATCACTGTGAGCCTTTCCCCATTGTCTTACAGATCATAGGATGACGACCCTTCGCCGTATCAGTGAGGTGGGATCCACGTCCTACGGATACCGTATTCCTCTTTCAATCCGGCATATTGCACACCCAGTTCTATCAGGTACGTTCGATAATCTCGTGTCACGAGCGAATGGGTGCTGAAGCATCCACGTATAGCTCCAAATCATCATACACAGAGCTTATATACCCACGCCGACAAAACCTCCACAGACAACATTCCCTTCGCTCGCGATATGTACGAATGCCGCCCGGACGTCCTGTCAGATCATCTCCCACTGTCGCAAGAACATACCCTGCTTCCGCAACAATCGTAATGCGTTTCAAGTGCGTTTGCGCCCGCGATACGGCCGCGTCTGACATGCTGATTCTGTGAATTCTCCAGTCGGCGACTTTCCAGCCTGCCTTGGTGCTCATCTTTGCCATCTGGAATGCCAGGCGAAATGGCTATCAAATCGACATCACGAGAGATATGGGATACATCTGGGAGTGTATGGATACTCTGAGGGGCGCAGAAGACCGGTACGTAATCGTCCCTACCTATGCCATGCCTTCGCCTGAACACCCCGCAGGTTCGTGATCGCCGGTAAACTCTGGTGCGCAAGTTTGCCTGAGATGCACTGTCTTCACTTGACTGATATTTGACTCAGGGACATACTCTATGAGCTGGTGTCTATGGGGGACCTGCCATTATCGCCCGCGTTGACCCCGCCAGACTTAACGCAACTACCCGAGTCCAACGCGGATGGCGCATTGGGTCACTCTCTGTTCCCAATCCCTGCCGAAACTGGCTCGACGTACAACATGCCCCAGATGGCCCCGGCAATCGGCAATACGCTCGACTTAGGCGACCTTTCACGGGCTCCTGGGTCCTTAGGCAGCGCTGACGCGACAGGGATGTCCTCGTTCGCGCCCATATCGTCTCACGGTTCCGGTGTGAGCGCGCCGTCAGTGGACACAATCGGTGGATTCGATACACCCGCCATGGATGATCTGATGGCTGCATTCGGATTCGGAGCCCTCGTCACCGCCGAAAGCGCCCACTACGAGGGGACTACGATTCATGGCGCAGCCGACGGTACATTGGATCCTTCTTTGAGCGCTAAGTCAGTAGCCCAGCCCATTCTCGCCCATGATCATTGCTGATTCGCTCTCGCAACTAGCGTATCGGACTGGGACAGTTGGTTTCCAAGCCTGGCACAGTCGAGCACTCAGGATGTTACAACATCGTACACTGCGAACGGTCCGCAATACCATGGCCCGCAGCATGCATCGTCTACGTACAACCCTCTTGACGACCTCTTCTAGTTCGCATTTGCACCCCGCCCTATACTATATCCCCGGACCCCATCACATGTTTCGTTGCTTTGGCCGCCTTTCCGTGTTACATCACTAGGCAAACAGACTACTATATCACTACCAGGCATACTTATAAGGCGTACGATGAGATCCCGCATAAGTACGACGGTTACTTCAGAGACACGGATCGAGCGTCCTCCACAACGTCTACCAGGGCGCGCACTGTAGCCAACCCATGCTGATCCGCGTCCCGGAGCTCGCTCTCGCCCTGCTTCACACCTCTCAGGACTAGTCGGGAGAAACGGTATCCAGCATCCGCGCGTTCTGAAAGCACCTTGGCCAAGTCGCGGTAGCGATGTTCAATAGAGGCCCTCAATCCTCCCTCTTCGAGATCGATGGAGATCAGCTTGTCCTCCTCGTCGACCGATATGAAAATGAGGGTTGGGGTGTTCGGCAATGCGATAGGAAGTTGTCCGTCACTCGTTTCCACAGTCCCGAGCGACTCGAGGAAGGACTGGTAGCGTCGCATGATCCAACTCAGAGATATAGATGTGAGGGATGTGAATCTCGATACAATAGCGTGGATGTCCTCCACGCCAAAATCAGCGTCCGCGCGTCCGAGAAGACTGCGGGACGGAGAGGGAGATGCATGGAAGTATGTGATGTTCTCCAGCGCCAACTCTGCCACAAAGGCAGAGATCAGGCGTGGTATCGAGTAGAAGTGGCGCACGACGTTGTCGTATCGCATGATCACGCCTGTGCGATTCGTTGGCTGGTCCAAGGATCCGGGTCGTCCGACGGCGAGTGCGATGGCACATCCACCTCGCGAATACGTGAAACTGAATGCGTTGATCGACGGATCAAGCAGACGTTCCAGGAGCGCTGAAATGAGCAGGTCGCCGTTCCGGTTTGGTTCTTCTCCGAGCATGAAAATGCTAGAGTGCACGAGATGAACGACAAGGGAGCAGGTCAATGGTGCACGAATTTGGCGCCAGAGGTTGGCAATATCCTCGAGCGAATCGTAGAATCGCGCGGAGATTAGGTGGGAAAGGTGTACAGGGGTCTGCTCGGGATCATGTGTGGCGTCGGCAAGAGAGTAGGAGATCTCAAGTTCTTCTAACAATGGAGTGGTTTGGAGGGCTCTTAGAAGGATTGCCGAAGGCACGCCGCCTTCATTCTGCCCCAAAACAAGAGACCGGAGAAACGGGGTGCGAAAGGGCAAGAACTGGGTTGACTTCATAGTCAAGCTGCTCAACATAGGGGCGTCAAGGAAACGACCGGATCCGTTGTGATTCGAAGGATTGGGTGCATGCCTCAAGCCGAGGTCGTTAGCACCATCGATGTGCAGGAATTGAAGACGGGGTAAGGGTGTTGCACTGATTATGTCTAGCCATCGTGCGGACGGCATAGGTGGGCGACGCGAAGACCATCCGGTGGTCAGAGAGCCCACATGCGTGATATTGTCCATCGCAAGCTGCAGGTATACACTTTCTTGCGCGCTTAGGGAGCCCTGTAAGGCTCCAAAATCAAACGAGAGCGGTGCGCCGCGAGCGCGCATCATGATCGTATCCAACGCAGCGGGGAATACGTGAACAACCCCTCCCCATAAGAGAGCCAGGTCCAGTCCCACAGTCCGATAGAGACGACTGACATGGGTCAAGGAGATCCATCCTAGGGAGCCTGAAGGCGAATATAACGATCGTCGTAGCAGAGTAGTTTGATCTAGGTTCCACGGCACTGCGCGAGGGCCCGTCCACAAGGGGTGGATGTCCGTATCCCAACCCTCGGACTCGACATACTGAAGCTCCCGATCTAGCGCGTGTAATGGTCCAGAGTATCTCGGTGGGTCTATCGCAGCTAGCGCATAATATATCTCGCAAACAACGTCCTCAGGAAGTGTTTGAGCAAGTGATGGCCGCGTCCTGGCACGTAGACCTGCATCAGGCCTTGCGTCTGGCGATCCCTCACTATTCTCAGACGATGGTCGTACGAAAAGCCCGCTGACTTTCCTGCGTATACCCCGAGCAAGCTTGGCTGATAGCATGACTGAGATGCACGGAAGGATGATGGTGGTCCAGAGTTCGGACACCGGAAAATCTGCCTGCCGAGCGGGCCGGAAGCGCACCGGACTTATCCGGCAAACCCCGCGCTGTTGATCCTGGGCCGGCCGGTCTGCCTCAGCGCGCGACTTGACCTCCGGCATCCTAATCTTGGCCTTTCTGGATCTCTCGTATATCCTTATGCATGTACAATACATACTACAGCTGGGTTGGTTGATGGCTCTTCCCAAATCTACCTGCTCTTCATGACGAAGGGATCATTATTGCACACGATGCTGCGGGATCCTTCTTTTCCGACTTCTCAGCGCGATCTCGCGGACAGCGGCAAGAGACCACAGAGAGCGACTTACTTACAGGTAGTGTCGCAAGACCATGCGTTATCTCGGGCACCTCCTGTCTTGGCCTAAGATCGCTGATGGGAGTCTCTGCGCACAGCTCTCCGACGAGGCGCTGCTGGCGTCCGGCGAGGAGGCTTGATTCTCTGCAATAGGTCCCTATGTAGAAGCGGTCACGTCCATGAGTGCGACAATCCCACGCCTCAACATCGCGACACGTACTGAATATCGGCAAATGTCTCGTCGAGTCTTTGATTCGTATGTTGTAGTCGAGAGCTGTTTGCAACGAATGAGCTTTGTCCGACAAAGCAGCACTTCACGAATGGCATAGCGACAGGGATTGTACGCACTGGAGATCTGCAACCGCCTGCGTCTCGCGCCGGAGTAGACTGCATGTGTAACCAACGACAATGCCTATGGCAAATATTGCCAGAGTGTGATCCAGGGCAGAGATATTAGATACAGATTCACTCATGACGGTACTGTATGAGCTTGGGATTGTGAAGAGTACACACGACTGGAGATGACCTGCAGGAGAAGCCTCGTTTCTGTGCTATCTGATCTATCCGTCGCACGTGTAGAAAACGCTAATGCCCAGCACGGACAAAGTAGACATATACATTGACATCGATAGTCGGGATATCTAGGTTTGCGATCACGCAATCCTACACACGAGCTTCTCGCGCCCGTACGCGCCTTTCTGCATGATCTTCAGCCCCTCCAAAATGCCATCAAACCCGCCCGAAATCTGACGCAGTCGCTGTGGCTTGTAAACTGCCGATCCAACGCCTGCCTTCCACCCATCGAATAAACGAGGGATGTCGTTGATGCACCATTCCTCAAGACGGGTCTTATCCTCTAGCATCACCGGTTGAGGGTACTTGTTCACGACGACGATCTCGCGACCGATCATTGTTCCTGCGAGGTTGGCATCGACGTCGACGTCCTGACGGCGCGCCCTAAGTGCATCAGTAACGGGGTGAAGCGCCATGACCTTTCCTCCGCGAGCCCGCGATATGGCGTCCTACGGAAGAGCGTGAACCAGAGAAACCTCTGAAGCAGAGGAACGGTAGAGCTTGTAGACTCACGATGGTGGCTTCCGTACTGCCCTTCTCGCTGATACAATCAAGCGCGTAAATGACGCCCTTCTCTCCAGCTGCCGCCTGAACCTTCGATACTATGTCTGGATCCTTGTAGTCAAAGACTCGCGACGCTCCAAGACCTCTGATATCGTCGTGCGCCGCAGGAGACGCCGTCACATAAACCTCCAAGCCCGACAAAGCCGCAAGCTGGACCGCGTGATGCCCGCATGCTGTACTACCGCCCCAGATCAAGATGCGTTCGCCCTTCGCCTTGAGCTCGACGGCCTCGGGCGTGTACGGCTTTGGGAGTGGTAGGCGCATGTAAAGCGCCTGCACGGATGTGAACTGCGCCACAGGGATCGACGCGCCTTCTTCGTATGTCATGTCGGGAGGCAGCGCAAAGCATGCAGCTGCGACGACGCGTGCATACTCAGCGAACAACCCGTGGTCCTCCCACGATCCACCGGCACTATACCGGCTGTCAGCACATATCGTGAGGCTAAGGAGATGATGGACATACTCGAACGCGCCGACACGCTGTCCAACTTTGAGATGCTTTACTGCTGAACCGACGGCAATGACGTCGCCTGCGGCATCACAGCCTAAGGTATGACCAGGAGCGCCCCAGTCCGCAAAGGCGGACTGCCAATCTGTGGGATTAAGACCCACAGCACGGACGCGGATCTGAATGTTTGAGAGTCAGAAGAGGTTGAGGGCAATGAGTCGAGATGATGATGTACCAGGACTTCATCTTCGGGAAGATGCTGCACCTTCTCATGGGTGGAGAGCGGAAGCGTAACGACCGCGGCCGTCTTGTTCTCTTGTATCTTCAAGGCCTTGATCGACTCTGGAAGAGAGGACATATCGCTTAGAAGAGTGATAGACTAAGATCGGAGTACCCTAGAGAATGAAGCTTCAGCGATGAGGCTTTTATATGCCAGTAGACCGACGCTGTCGGGCTTTCGACGGGCATCCCCGGTGAATATCGGCTTTGCGTGTCGGTCTTAGAATGTTCGCGTAGGAGGAGCCCATGGCCTGAAAGACAAAGTGATGCACGAAGATAACCAAAGTAGGGAGGGGGCTCGGAGTTCACAGGTCAACAACGTCAGTGACATCGGCCATTGCTTGACAACGCTGGCCAGTGCCCGACGCACCGGGCCGCAGAGAGATCACTAACGAGCTTACATGCTCTGGCTCAGCTCCAGATGACTGTATTCGTCGAGTCGAGTTCGATAAAAGAGTATTGATAAAGCCATGACCAATAAAATCCTGTACCGGCGTTTCGAGCGCGTGTGAAGGGGAGCGGTACGGTCCGTATACGTAGTCATAGTACCGAGGCAAGTGAGTACCTCGGAGTACTAAGCCCACACATGGATAGAGCTGCATTGGTTCACTTCCAAGCATGGGGCAGATGGAACGACCGAGGGGTATAGTGCAGGAGGTGGTGGTTCCAACGAAGAGGTGAGGCGGCGCTTGGGTATGGGTGTGATCGTGTTCGGCAATGGCCGCCATGCGATTGATCGCTCGGAGTCGCTGCCCACGCGCCTGCGACGCAGGTTGTCTGCATCCATCTTGCACGGTCGTGTATGCTCGAGAACACCGTGCGATCCCAAGAGTATTATACATGTGCAATAGGAAATTCCCATCCAAGACCTGCGACTACTTGCGAATTCACTCGTGGTAGTGCTTCATGAGTTTGAGTGCCATGACCTGCAGGAGCAGGCGTTTCTACCAGGTTATCTGATCCATCGGTCGCACGTATAAAGGGTTCTGGTATTCATCAATATACATGCATGGAGTTGTCATATACAGTAGGCAATTGAGGTTCAAAATCACGCAATCCTACACACGAGCTTCTCGCGCCCGTACGCGCCTTTCTGCATGATCTTCAGCCCCTCCAAAATGCCATCAAACCCGCCTGGGATCTCGCGCAGGCGCTGCGCTTTGTACTTCGCCGCGCCAACACCTGCCTTCCATCCATCGAGCAATCTTGGCACGTCGCGAGTGCACCACTCCTGTATACGAGCCTTGTCCTCCGGCATCGCCGGCTGATGCCATCTGTTTGCGACAGTGATCTCGCGACCGAGCAGTGTACCAGCAAGATTAACATCGACGACGACGTCTGGGCGGCGCTTCGCGATGAAGTCGGGAACAGGGAGAAGCACCATGACTTTTCCTCCGCGAGTTCGCGAGATCACGTCCTATATACCATGATGATTGAGCAATGCCTTCGAGGGGGGCCGACAGCCGAGCGTGCGCGAGGAGATGAACTCACGATGGTAGCCTCTGTACTGCCCTTTTCACAGACACAATCAACTGCGTAGATGATTCCCTTGTTGCCAGAAGTCGCTTGAATCTTTGTGACGATGTCAGGGTCCTTGTAATCAAAGACCTGGGATGCTCCGAGAGCTCTGAGCTCGTTATGCGCCGCAGGCGACGCTGTAACATACACCTCCAGACCCGACAAAGCCGCAAGCTGGACAGCATGATGCCCGCACGCCGTGCTACCTCCCCAGATTAGGATGCGCTCGCTCTTCGCCTTGAGCTCGATAGCCTCAGGTGTGAAAGGCTTTGGGATCGACATGCGCATATAAAGCGCCTGCACGGAGGTAAACTGCGCTACCGGAAACGATGCGGCTTCCTCGTATGTCATGTCCGGAGGAAGAACAAAGCAGGCGGCCGCGACAATACGCACGTACTGCGCGAACCCGCCGTTGTCCTTCCACGATCCTCCGTCACTATGGGTACGATGAGTGTATTAGAGGTAAGTCGTGGGGAGTAGGGACGTACTGTAGAGCGCAGGCACGGTCGCTCACCTTGAGGTGAGTCACGGCGGGCCCGACGGCGACAACTTCACCGGCGACGTCACAGCCTGAGATGGCACCTGGGGTACCCCAGTCTGTGGTTGCAACCTTCCAATCGCTGGGATTAAGGCCGACAACGCAATCGCGAATCTAGGCGTTAGAGAGTAAGACGGAGTCGAAAGTCAAGGAAGCGTGCAATGACCCACTATTACTTCATCCTCAGGCAGGTGTTGCACCTTGTCCTGAGATGAGAAGGGAAGGGTAACGACCGCGACCGTCTTGTTATCTTGTATTTGAACGGCCTTGATTGATTCGGGGAGAAAAGACATACTGCTCGGACGGCCGAGGAGGACTGGGGAGAGCCTTAGGATAACAGCGCCTCTTGTGATGGGGCATTTATAGGTATGTAGGCCGGCACAGTCGGGCTTTCTGGCCTTCTCCGGTAAATATCGGCTTCGCATGTCGGTCGTAGAAGGCTCTCCCCCAAAAGTAGCAGAGAGAGTGAGTAGACTCGGACTTTACAGGTCACGGGCATCGGCCATTTTCCACCACGCGGCGCAGTGTCCGGCGCACAGGGCGGATATATGACCGCGAACGAGCCAACGCAATGAACTGCAGCCCCGGAGTACCGTACTTGACAGATAGAGTATCACAAAGGAGGAGCACTAGAATCATGAGTAAGGGGGTCCTGTAGCGGCGTTTCGAAGGTGTGTGAATTGTGCGGGTTGGATCCATGATATCGTGGTGGAGGGATGACGTTCTGAGGCTCTTGATGTTATGCGCAGAGGATTGTACTTGAGATTGCAATTCTCATTCATATACAGTTCTGGATAGTCGTATAAGGAGTGACAGGCATAGATGATGGTGATCCCAGAACAAGTGCCAGTTGAGGGCTCGCCGACGCCGCGCCCGCGAGGCTGAGCGCTCCCGGCAATGTCCGTGATGTGACTGATGGCGGTCAGCGGCTCAAGAAATGGAACAGCCCTTTGTTTTCCTCTCGCCATCATGTTCATATACACGAGAAAACGCTTATAACCAAAGTTCATCCAATAGAAATGGCATTTCTTGTATGATCCTGACTGACGCAATTCGTTCCATCCTACCATTCGAAAGAAACGCCCTCGTTATTCCGCCATCGCCTGAACGCTCAAGCTCAAGGCCCCCGCGCGCTATCCTCAAGCCCACCAATAGCAGTGAACTCCGCGCTTCTTCGTTGCATCCCAGTATACCTCCTCCATCCCTCTGGATACTTCTGCAGATTGCGCCGTGCACCGGGCCTATGAACGTTGTGCAGAGTGTGTCTTGACTGCGCGGCGAGGCGTAATCGGGACGACCGGTTTCTTCGCTTGCTGTACCAATCCCCTGGGCATCCAAGGTCAGACTCATTACGCATAGCCCTCGAGGAAAAGGTGCGCGACGAACTCAAGAATGGTGACTTCAGCCCTGATAATGATCACCTCGGCCTTTATATTCACGATCTCTTGGATGAAGACACGTCCAATCTGCTGTATACCCTGCGCGTACACAGTGCTGCATGTCGTCATGATATCCATGAGCGAAACAGAACTGGATGGGGCAACTATGGAGCAAACGTACTCTGCCTTGGCTATCATCTTCTTACAGTAGAGGTACCAGTAATGGCCAGCCAGTATGAGCATGATAAAGATCGCTATGTTGAACCTCAAGAGCCTGGACTGATCGTCTTGGAGGTATTCGTAGTACAGCTTGAAACTTTCGTAGTGAATCATGATGGCGTGGGTCAGAACGCTACTGAGGCATGACCTTCTTATACCATGAGTGCGGTGATGAAAGGCCTTTGTCCTCTCATTCAACACGTGCCAGACCACCGCGCGTGCCGTTGTCGATGTGGCTGGCCTACTGACAATCGATCGTCACGCAACCCTACATACGAGCTTCTCGCGGCCATAGCTGCCCTCCTGCATTATCCTCATACCCCTCTCAATAGCCGTCAGCCCACCCGAAAGCTCGCGCAGCCGTTGTGGCTTGAACATCGGCGCGCCCTCACCCGCCTTCCATCCCTCAAGCAAGCGCGCGATGTCGTGCGCGCACCACTCCTGTAGCCGCGCCTTATCCTCTGGAACTGCGGGCCAGGCCCAGCTATGCGCAACGATGATCTCACGACCGAATACCGTACCGACAAGGTTGAACTCGACGGTGACGTTCGCACGGCGCTTCGCGACGGCTTCGGGGACGGGAAGGAGGACTAGGACTCTGCCTCCGCCGCTCAGAGACATCGCGTCCTGCGCGCAGCGTGAGCAACTCGGATGATCATGAAGTAGAGTGACAAGACGTACGATTGTGGGCTCCGTGCTGCCTCTTTCGGTGACGCAGTCAATCGCATAGGCAATGCCTTTCTCGCCCGCCTGCGCCTGAATCTTCGAGACGACCTCCGGGTCCTTATAGTCAAATACATGAGAGGCGCCGAGGGCCTTGGCGTCCTGATATGCAGCAGGCGATGCGGTAGCGTAGACCTCGAGTCCCGACAGAGCAGCGAGCTGAATGACATGATGTCCAACAGCCGTACTCGCGCCCCACACAAGTATCTTCTCTCCCTTGTGCTTGAACGCGGCGGCTTCGGAAGTGAACGGCTTTGGGATAGGCAAGCGCATGTAGAGGTTCTGTACAGCGGTGCAGTGTACGCCTGGGAACGATGCGCCTTCTTCGTAGGTCATGTTCGGCGGGAGCACGAAACATGCGGCTGCTACGAAACGTGTGTATTCTGCGAAGGCTCCGTTGTCGCTCTGCCACGATCCACCGTCGCTATAGCATGATATGAGCTAGAGAAAACGATTGCTGAGGTGGCAACACGTACTTGAAGCCCGCAATACGGTCACCAACTTTGATGTGCGATACTCCTGAGCCGACTGCGACGACATCGCCCGAGGCATCGCATCCTGAGATGGCGCCAGGTGTGCCCCATTCCGTGAAGGCATGCTTCCAGTCTGACGGGTTGAGGCCAACTGCACGTACGCGGACCTATGATGCCGTCAGGAATCGAGTGTTACAACGATACACCAAGTTACGCACCAATACCTGGTCTTCAGGAAGACTTCGTATCTTTTCTTGCGATGCGAAAGGGATGGCGACGACAGCGACAGTCCGGTCCTGTTGGATCTGAATGGCTTTGATGGTCTCCGGTAGATCTGTCATGGTGTATGAAGTGGACAGGATTGCGACCAACGCGTCGAAGAACGCTTTTGAACAGCTGTACACCGACGCAGTCGGGCTTTTACCACACTATGGGCTCAGATGTTCGGTCCTAACGGGCGCCAGTAGGACATAGGACATAGACGCTCGGGTTTAAGCACGAATACCGGTGGCGTCGGAAATTCACAGTCAGAGCAATGGACCATTGGTGGTGGTACAAGTTGCTTGCGCATATTGCTATCAATACACAGGGAAGTTCGGATCGACCTCCGCTGACCATGCTCTCAGCCCCCCTCGCAGATCTCGTGCGTCGATACCGGCTTCTCGTAAGGTAGCGGCGCCAATCTGCGAGTCGTTCCCCAGTCGGCAGACTACGACGACGCGGCGGTCCGCGATGTCGGAGGGGAGGTGGGATCGAGGGTCGGGTGCAGAGACGAGTTCGCGCAGAGGCATGTCTATCCAATGAGTGAGCCACAGATGCCAGTGTAGATGAACCGACACGACGTACGGATGCTCCCTGGTAGCCTGCAGATACCGAACTCGGCTTGCGGGCGCACGTCCAGCACATACAGCTTAGCTTCCGCAGTATCATCTCGAAGATCGCTGTGTAACTCCTTTGGCTTCACGCGTGTCTCCTCTGCTCCTTCTATCCCAAGCTTCAGCCAGTCCGGCCTTGGCCCACCACAGAACTGCACGTAGTCGATCTCGTGGATAGGATGCTTGGAGATTGAAGGGTCGGTACCGCATGCAGCGCAGTCTTTCCGTCGAGTACGAAGTTTGAACGTGCGGAACGGTGTAGGCGCCAACATTGAGTAAAGCGTCATCGTCGGCTTGTACTCGGCCTCTCCAGCCATCCCAGCGAGAACCTTGATCGCCTCGGCTGCTTGAAGTGTACCTATGACGCCAGCCACAGCCCCAAGAATGCCCGTCTCCGCGCAACTCGTCGCGTACTCCGGCGCCGGCGGCCTCGGGAAGAGACAGCGGTGACACGGGCCGGTTTCGCCGAGGCAATAGGTCGTTATTTGGCCTTCGAGAGATTGAGCGGCGCCGGAGACTAGGGGTACCCGGGCCGTAGCGGCCGAGTCTGAGAGAAGGTAGCGGGTTGGGGCGTTGTCGCTGCAGTCCAGAGCCAGGTCGTGTGTAGCTAGGAGTTGTGGCGCGTTGCTAGTTGTCAAAGCATGCGGGACTGGGGTCACAGTCACTCGTGAATTCAATCTGCGAGATAGAGAAAGTGAGTCGGATGAGGTACAGTACTGTGCACGAAGCTTCGACGTACTGTCGTAGAGCAATAGCCGCGCTCTCGGCTTTATTCATGCCGACTCGTGCCTCGGTGTGCAAGACTTGCCGTTGTAGATTCGATAAGTCAACCACGTCATGATCGATGACAGTTATCTTTCCTAGACTCGTACGGGTGAGTAGGCACCCCTCCAAGACGTCGAGGTAGACCTACCCACACCACCAGCAGCCAAATATTGCAATGCCGGGCACCCGAGTCCACCGGCGCCTACGACGAGCACTGAGGCATTTTGTAGTTTAATCTGTCCTGCATTACTTGAACTACTGCCGACCTTGGTGATCATGTCTCGGTAGGCGTACCCGGTAGCCCAAAAGGCTCGAGGATCATCTGTCGACCATAGCGCTCGTAGTCCTCGACGTGCGCGAGGCGGGGAAGTTCATCATCGTGGGAGGACATCAACCTGCGTTCGACGCGTCTTCGGTTCTTTGTTCGCGCCACGATGTAGTCTCGTCATAGCTATAGTTCTTCCCGCTCTCCATCTCGCACCGTAACGACCATGGCAGTACCAGCAACCCACGTTGCGCCCTTACCATCGACATCGAACACTGGTACACCGCAATACCCACCTCTTCCGGGCGTCTCTGTCCATCCGTTTCGGCATCCACCAGAACAACCGTTTCCTGATATCGGGGCTTCGGCGAAGTGGACTGTGAGCAGCTATAAATTCGGCTTTGGCCCGGAATGCCTAGGCGATCTAGACCCAGATACGTTCTGGCAGTACGTGCTGGACCGTGGCAGACAGGGAGAGGTGCTGATGAGAGCTTACAGTTCAGATGGGCCACAACCACATTATGTGACAGTCGAATTTCCAAGGAAGTTGCCGATACAGGTATGGTGGTCCTACAGTCGAATGAGGAGGTGGCACTCACGCGGAACGAACTACGTTTTCTAGAAGATCTCCATATACCTCTCTTACTCCCTCGACGACTCGTACACGCCCGCTGCGATATCCGTACGAGCAGGAACTGGCCCTGGTGACATGCAAGAGACGAGAGTCGTCACGTTCGATAAACCGGATGGGTGGATTACATTTGACGTCTGTGCGGAATTGTCGGACGACGGCGAGAGCTTGTACGTGAAGCCGCAATGATATTGTCGAGCACTGTGAAAGTTGAAGCAACCTGATAGTCGACCTATACATGCATATGTTCTGCAGGTGGTAGTTCTAGGTAACCATATGAACGGGAAGGACACCCACGTCAGAGGAATGATGGTGCACGGTCCGCCAGAGTACGTCGTTTCGTTCATGTCCTATTCACGCGGTTGTGGCTGACTACATACCAACAGAGACAATACGTCTTGGGACGATCCGTTTCCGTGGAAGAATGATCACTTCAAGTGGTATGAACAGATTCGATGAATATCCTGTACTTGCTTTACATTTCTTGCATTGGCGATGTGCGCACCGCGAAACGTGGAGTGTATGTGCTGCAGCACGTATTCAGTCTTGGAACTCGGCGCTACACGACTATATCAGCGCAAGAAGACAGCGCCGGATGCGTGACTGTGCGAGCCTGGTCGTATCTTCGAAGAAAGATGTGGCGACAATGTCTCCCTCGGCTCGAAAAGGTGCTTATAAACGGGGTTCTTCACCACGAAGACCCTTCAAGCACCGTACTCCAGCATCATGGTCGCCGCTGTTGACCCCACATATCCCGCTCTTCCGGTCGTTTGCTTCATATCGGCTGCTATGTCGCTCCTCTTGATCTCTACAAGTTTTGTGAGGCAGAGCTGGAATGTTGGCGTTGTGTCCCTGTGCTCCTGGCTCTGTCTTGAGAGCGTCATATACGGCGCCAACGCTGTCATATGGGCTGACAATGCCGATGTCAAATGCTATCTCTACTGCGAAATAGGCTAGTGTCTGCACTAGTACAACCCATGGATGCATAGCGCTGACAACATGCATCACAGTATCACGCCTGCAACTCGCCGCACTTGTTGCAAAGCCGTTTGCTGCCGTGGTCGTCGCCCGACGTTTGTACATGATCACACTGATGCGATCAGTCGAGGTACATGATACTGCCGCGGTAAATCAAACACCGGTCCACCTTCCCACATATGTGCTGCATCTGAGACGACCACGAGACAGAGACGTAGGAATCTCATGGTCGAGTGGACGTTATGTCTAGCGCTGCCGCTGCTTATCACAGGACCTCTCTGTGGGCGTTCCTTCTGGACACGAGCTCAAACTCAAGATGCTGACATATGTGCACTCGGCCACAAGATTACCTCGTTCAAAACTACCGATTCCAAGTAATCGAGGGCTTTGGATGCGAAGATGCCGCGAATCCGTCAATCCTCTACGTCTTGGTTATCTCATCTTTGGACATGATATCAGTGTTGATGTCTGCTTTGGTCTACAACCGTACGTCAACTGCTCAAGCGCAACTCTCCGTCAGCCCTCATGCTTATTCTCGTGATCAAACCAGCTCAAGCAGCCCTCATCTTATGCAGGCAACGTCGGGATATCGACCGCTTTTTACAAAGTGATGACAGCTCCATCTCGCGCATCAACTACCACCGCCTCTTCATCCTCGCAAGCCTGAACATCCTACTCACTCTGCCGCTTACAATCGCAACGGTTGTCCTTTCACTATTCGGAGCACAGATTGGGAATTCTGCACGCGTAGTGTTTTACTCTGGATGGACAGTCGCGCATTCGACTTGGGAACCTCAAAGCTACCCGTACGCGGATCTGGACGTAGCGACGGTGGCGTATCAGTACTTCAAGCGATGGTCGACACCCAGTCTTGCTATTGTGCATTTCAGTCTATTTGGGCTGACAGCAGAGGCTCGCGCGTCCTACGTGCGCGTTATTCACACTATCGGTCGTTGAGCTCAAGGTGGATGAAGAGTCGCGCGAGATCTTTGCACACCGCTTGGGCCTCGACCCCACATCTTTTCCATCGCGCGTCTTCCAACGGCGGCGTAGTTGCCGTTGAGCGACATCTATATGTTGGCATCTCTATGTCGATGTCGCGCAGTACCACAAGAAAGACATCAGGACAGCCCGATATGCCACGAATGCTGTGTATCTTCCATTCCCGGAGATCACTCTGGAGACCGCTTCTTACGTTTTCACGACCAGTCTGGTAGTAGTGAGTTCAGAAGGCTGTGCGCCAACGGAGTTCTTTCAGCCGCAGCAGTGCTCATATCTATGTGCCTCCATGCATCATGGTTGGTAGTACACGTATATTCATACTGCACGCTGTCTTCATTGGGTTACTTGCCGTGGGGTTTCTA